GAAGTAAATCGTGAGTCACATTTAATACACTGCAGGCTGTGCCTATGGATGAGCTCCTGACGTCCTGTATCAGCACCTCACCGATTTAATCCCCAGGGTCTTTAAGGCATAAGGTGGTGTCTTAACATGTGCGTCTTCTTCACGCCTTTTTTGTAAAAACTCTAAACTATTTTTGACTGTTTCCTCTGTCACATCATTTTGATTGTTAGAATATTTTGAAAAGAGCCTGCCTGGAGTTTTGGTCTGAATGACATTAAGCTTCTAACCTAACTGGGGAAACGTTCATCCTTGTGCAGTTTCCCTCCAGCGAGCTGCTACACTTCTTGGAGATCTGCAGTTTTCTTGTCAAGTTTTAACTTTACATCTTTGCTCTTATTATGGATGGAATTAGTTTCCACTTTCTCTCTCCATCTTCCCAATCTGGTTTCAGATTCAGATGCAAATCGGAGCTCACAGGAAAGTAACGGCTAAACCAGCAGCCTCTGGAAAGCGCGCCCTGGTATGAATCCCAGAGCCCTTGGGTCTGGCAGTGTAGCTGTGTCCAAGGCTGTGGTCCTGAATGGGCCTGCTAGGAAGGGGCGGATCCTTGGAATCGGTGGATTTTTATTTTGCACTTACTTGTGTTCGAAGTTGCCTCACTCTGTTACAATCTCCTTACATCAGGAGTTGTGTGCCTGGGGCTCTTCCTGTTTCTTTTGTTTGCTTGTTTGCAATACTAAGGATTGAACCCAGGGACTTCACACTGAGCTGGATCCCCAGCCCTTTTATGATTTTTGAGACAGGGTCTCACTACGTCACTGAGTTGCCCAGGCTGAGCTCCAACTTGTTATCCTCCCGCCTCCAAGAGCGCTAGGACTATAGCGATGCATCGCCACGGCCCTCTCGTCACTTTGTTTCTACCATATTCGAGGCAACAGCTATTTCAAGCCTGTCTATAGTCCCGAAGCTCCAATGCTGTTCTTCCCTCACTTTCAGAAGACAGACTTGCCTCTTAGTTGAGGGAGGAGACACACACACACGATAGGGCGACAACAAGCACAGCACACACAGACCTCCACTTCCAACTTTACATCTGCGGGGGGTGCAGCTCCACCCACTGCTCTCCCACTCCCCACCTCCGCAGGTCTGAGGACCCCCACTCTCAGGACAGCCAGTGCTTCCCATGGGAGAAAGAAACCCAGAGCCTGGAGCTGCGCCCGTTTCCCAGGGGAAGCCAGGGAAGTGCAGACACTGACCACAGGCTGCGCCCTGACCCCGCGGTGGCTCTGGGTTCCCAGCAGGCCAGGAGCCGCCATTACCCGCGGCCGTGTGCCTTGTGTGCAGTGTGTGCTATGTGTGCTGGGTGTAATGTGTATGTATGTGTGATGCGTGTGTCATGTGCACGTGCATGGTCTATGTGTGATACATGTGTGCCGTGTGAGGCGTGTGTAATGTGTGTGTGAGTGTGCCGTGTGTGGCACCTGTGCAGTGTGCGCTGTGCGCGGCATGTGCCTGCCCTCGTGCGCACTGCCCCTGCCTGCGGGGCCCCTCTTGACCTGTGCGCTCTGCCCCCAGCCCCTTCTCCTCGACCAGCGTTTCCTTGTTGGTCTCGTGGGCTTTGCCGACTCCGGGGTCTTGACCTCCGCGTGGCAGTGCACAGCGGGCCTCAGGTCTCGGCCTCCCTGATCCTCCCGGTTCCAGCAACTGCCCAGCTTTTCACTCAGCGCTGTGAGCCCTGCGTGGAAGCACCTTGGGTGTGGTGTGACGCCGGCTCTGCCTCCGTTCCTCCCAGGGTGGGTGCGGTGCCCAGCTGTGCGACACAGGCACGCTGTCCGGTGCTCCCGCTGCCCGTGCCACCCACCTGCGTGACGTCCCGGCCACTCGCATCCCCTTCTCCATCTCCCGCCGGGCTTCTTCCACCTGTCTGTACCTGGCTGCTGGGCCTGTGCTGGAAGCTTTCTGGGCTGCGCTCACCACTCACCCTTCAGAGGAACTTTACAGAAACTTCATTAAGTTTCAAAACTAAGCTCGTCCTCTTAAAATCCACACCCAGGGGGGCAAAATGTCTGTGAGTCTGCAGCTCCGCCGACACAGAGCGTTTCCACACCAGCTCAGTCTATATGGCCCTGAGCGAGGTTGTGACCTGTACTCACGAGTCTTGCACATTTTGAGCTAGGTCACTCCAGGCCTCCACCTGTGTCCGTGAATGTGTGTACGTGTGTTATACACAGCAGCATTCGCCCTTGAGGGGACATAAATCTGTGAGTTTCGACAAGTGCGTACAGCTGTGTAGTTACTGAATCGAATATTTCCACCACCCAAAAACATTCCCTTCGTTTCTTTCTGTCCACCTTCCACTCACCCTGCACTCTTGCAAACACTGCTGTTTCTCGTCCCTGCAGTTTCGCCTCTTCCAGGAAGCCATGTAAATTGGTGATGGATTCTCTCAGCATCACCCTCGCAAGGGTTGCTGACATTGTCTCTCTAAGCTGTCCACTCCTCTGAATCGCAGGCAGGGCTCCGTTGCGTGTCATGGGGGGTCCACTCACCGGCTGACAGACACTTCGGGGCTCCCAGTGGTGGCGATAAACAAGCTGGTGTAGGTCCTCCCTGCTGTGTGTGTGCTGTGTGTGTGGACACAGTCTTCGCTTTTCACTGGAACACACTCGGGGGAGGGACTGCTGCATTGGGTGAGGAATGTTTAGCAATACTGCTGAGCATTTTGCTACTATTGCAAGTGAGACTTTTCCTTTGTTTTCAGAGAGCTGGTTGCACGTATATAGGGAAGCTCTGCTAATGCATTTCTCTTTTGTGATTGTTCCCCCTGTCCTGTTGCATCCACTGGTGATGATGCCAGACCCCTGCTGAAGGAGGAGTCATCTTCTGTGTCGAAGTTAATTTGTATATTTGGGGCAGAAGGATGAGTGTGCGTGGGATGTGAACACTGCAGTGCTGGGCAAATGACACCAGTCTTCGTGCCTCGTGGAGAGCGGCTGGGCAGCACTGTCAGATTCAGCCTAACAGGCAGCAGGCACCGAGCCATCCACGCACCAGGCCCAGCTGTGCCCATCCCATCAACCGCAAAACCCAGCCTGGGTTCCGGGAACTCGGAGACCACAGGCAGATCTGGGCGGTCCAGGCGCCACGGGCCAGCACCTGCCTGCAGGGCGGCTCGGAAGGACGGGCAGGGCTGGGGAGCGCCCGGGGCACAGGGGACACCAAGGCCTGGGGTGGCGGGCGGGGGCAGTGACGGTGCTCAGCCTCAGTTAAGGCAGTGAGTTCTGACGTCAGCTCTGCAGTCTGCAAACCGCACCCTTGTGTTTCACACCAAGTCTAACCCTAAACCTACCTCTGTCCCTTATTCAGCTTTAAATAACATTCAGGAAGTAAACTTGCAATTTTTTTTTTTTTTTGGTCTTTTTGAGACAGGGTCTCGCTCTGCAGTTCAGACTGGCCTTGAGCTCACTGTGTAGCCCAGGCTGGTCTCAAACTCACAACGATCCTCCTGCCTCAGCCTCCCGAGTGCTGGGATTACAGGCGTGTGCCACCATGCCTGGCTAAACTTGCATTTCTGTCTCCCCTCCCGTGTTGCCCCTCCAAAGGGAGAAGTACACTGACTGTCCTTCTTTGTATGCATGGGTGATGTCTGATCAAGTATTTATGGCTTTAGAGCAAACTTGGGGGCAAGACTTGGGATGTGAGAGGCAGACCCGGTTAGGAGTCCAAGTAAAGACATCTCTAGGCTTCCTGCCAGTGAGGGCCACGCGGTGCGGGGTCTCCTCTTCCCGGCCCCCATTCTACCTGGAGACTGCAGAAGCCGGGAATGAGGGCCGGGCCTGGCATGCTAAGATGCTCCTGGGAGTGGAGCTTGGGGCAGGCGGGCAGCACAGGCAGAGGACACAGAGCCCCTACTGGATGGCCATGAGGTCTCCAGTCAGCGCCTGTGCTCAGTGACAGCGTGCGAATGCAGCGCGAGTGTGACAGACACTGCAACGCTGCGGATGGGTCACAGCGCCGCCCCAGCACACGCAGGGCTCGCCCACGGCAGGGGAAGGGTGGGCGTCCTCTGTGGGCAGCAGGTCCAAAGGCCAGCGGGACCCTCTGCACTGAACGCAGCCAGGCTGAGCTACTGAAGAGGAAGGGGAGCTTCTTGCCAAGGAGGAAGCAATGACCTGAGGAACCGGGGCCGAGGCCTCGGTGGGCACTGCAGCGGCTCTGAGAGCTTGTCCCTGCATCTGCAGGGCTGGCTGCTCCGACTCAGGGACTTCATGAGCTGACAGACGCACACAAAGCTCGGCCCCCAAGGAGCCACTCTGCAAACACTCCACGCCCTGCTGCCTGGTCCTCGGGAGGCCTGCACAAGTGCACTCCAGGAGCCCGGGCCCCAAGGCGAGCCCCGGAAGCCTGCTGGCCCGAGCGTGGCGCTGTGTTCTGCGCTTACAACTCAGGTCTGTTGCGGGGAGGCACAAGAGACTAGAGATTCAATGGGGGCTCTGGGGACCCCAAGAACAGAAGCATCAATCTGTGTGAGACCCTGGGATTCCTACATGGCTTGTGAGAAAGGACTGAGGCTAAAGCAAACTGACGGGAATGTGAAGATGGCAGCGATGCTCAGCTTCGAGGCTCTGTGCCAGGGCACTGCATCCCCGAGGGCTGGCGACCCAGCCCAGCCCGGGCAACGTCCGCGGGGGTTGGAGGGGGGAAACCCAAGGGCTGGTGACCCAGCCCGGCCCCGGTGACGTTCGCAGGGGCGGTGGGAAACCCACACTGAAGGGAGACCGCCGAGCAAGGGCGACGGTGGAGGGCGGGAGACAGGCGCTGGGGCGTCGGGACGGAGGAGGCGCTCCGGGCTCGCTGGCCAGGTGCATCTGGGAGCTCG